ACTTGGTATGAGAGTTTGAAGGTACGAATATAGATTACAAGGGGCTTAGAGACAAGACTACATAGAATTAGAAAACAGTGTGACACCGATCCCATCAATGATGTACTCGTTTTGACTAGACGCGGAGAACCGAATCAGCTGAAACCACTCGATTTCTGGCTACAGTACTTTGCCTAGCTGGTAATGCATAGAGTGAAATTCGTAAACTAAATACACCAATAATGACGCCGGTACCAAACGCTCGAAACGGCCATCTAGTATTTAGATTACCTCGATCTGGACAGCAGTTAAACAATATTCAATAAAGTTTGTTACACAAAGTTATATTACGTCAAAATTCTAATAAATCGATCAAAAGTAAAAATAAATTTTTAAAAATGGATTACTGAACAAAGAATATTGCTTTTTTTATACAATTATTGCAATAATCTGTTTTAACCTATTTCATTGTGAATGATTATTCAGTAAAAGGTGTCATCCAGTGTATCTCAGTTTCTTGAACACTATAAAATCAGGTAATCACACATCTACAAAATGACACTTCAAAACTAATCTACTGCTCTTTTACAACTAAACACAAAGTCCTACTGAGAATTCACGACCAGTTTGATCCACGATCCACGGATGACATTGACTGGTGCTGACAAGTGTCTGAATGGTCAGTAGGCTTACCTGATCACCTAAAACCCCTAGGTTTCATTGTTGGCTGGGTCATGGATGTGTCCTCCTGAACAGTCCAAAAGAACGATGAAACATCCCTACTGGACTTCCTGCTGGTCTTCAATAGTTTCTTAGCTGATTAGATTCACCATTACCATAAATTCTGTTTACTAGATCTGTGGAGTAAACAAAATAGCAACACTCATTTCCCATTTCATTTCGATCCTTCAAGAGGTCAATGGCATCATGAATAGCTAATTAGTAACATCTATAACTGCAAAGCTGGGTAAATTAAGCTCAGTCTCAGAGGGGGAATATACATGCACGCCTTGCTGAGGAATGCCAACAGATACAGCGCCTAGATCTAGGTCTTCCATCCGATTGACTTCAACCATCGACACATACTGGCTTTCATAAGAACCATTCAGATAAAAATAATAATAATAATTGTCTCAAATTTAAAATATCCATACACATATCATACTCATACTCAACCCTAAATTAAAGTTTTGAAATTCTTTGAACCGATTCGCTTAAAACTACGGACAATAAATAATTCATTTGCACCAGTCAAATTCATCCGTCTAGGTCACTGTAGTGAAGACAGTTAAACAGTCGACCAATAGGATTTAGCGTAATAGGTTACTAATTGAGTTGCATATGTTAAACCATACGATTGTAATAATTTTTTCAAAAAAAAAGTTTATCAGAAGGTCAGAGTGTTTGTTCAGAATTAGTTTTCTATTTTTCTCTATAGATAATTTCACTCAACACCAAAATGAACATCTTGGATTAATTATTCCAGTGTAAGCCATTCATTATCAACCAAATGAACACCGCATAGCCACCAGCTATCGAACTATTAGTCAACATTGAGAGTGTTCCAGCTGCTCGTATTATTAATTGGTGGTACTTACTGTCGCGCAAATAGCTTTTCTTTCTCAATTATTCTTTATGCTATCCAGCAGATCACAGCATATCACTTGAATGATTTTTGTTTTCAAGGAAACTGTGTACTGATTTTTCAACCTCGAACTGTATAATTTGCAAAATTACAAATTTTATTCGATGTCAAGACTATTTATTGTTCATGTGATACACTATCTAGTTAGATGATTGGGACTAGAGCTTAGCGTGCTTACCTATCATCTCTTTTACTTTTCAATGTTAGTTGAGTAGCTCGGTTCACACGTCTAAGCGCTTGACTTCTAACCAATATGATCGTGGCATTCAAAGCTGCTCCACCTTACAGGATTTGGATAGCTATGTGTCATAATTAGTTCCACATAAAATAGAAGTAGCCGACAGCCAACTACACGGAAATACAAGTGGTTGTTGAGATAAGATTAAATTAAGAACATTCAGAAAAAGATATGATACCAAACTATGGAACCTCTTAATTATAGCCTATGTAGTGGTGAAATAGAAAAGATTTTCAGTCAGGAGTATAATTTCGTTGTGTTTGTGTTTCTGAGCTGGTTAGTTTAATTACGAAGCTTTCATTGCCTTTCTAGACAGCATATCCAGCTCTGACTTTAATATGGACATGATGAAGACGTTATCTCAAACGACAGTGAAAGCTTCGCAGCTAAACTATATCCACCTCAGAGAATACAACTACATCAAGTGTGTACGTGTACTGATGCGACTGAAATTCGTGGTTGACAGACCTATTTAAATTGGCATAGAATTGAAGTGAAGCAAAAAGCTATTCGATCAGCGATAACATAGGGGAAATCAGTTACTGCAACGTTGCAAATACACATTGCTGACTGATCAGTGCTAACAAACACGAAACCTAGGTCCAAGGCTATCTGTCCATTGTATCGAACCATTTGACACCAACAAAAAGTTCACCGCGATGTCAAGTCATCTACTTGGTGTATCACACTGAAAGTTGACTGATAAAATGCAGCCTGCATCAGCATCAGGAATGATAAAGAGTTCAACCACTTGTAATTCCATGAAGTTTTAAATGAACCACATCTATTGAGTGAGTGAGGTCTGGTGATGTTATCTGGCTCCCCAAACCTCAGGAGTTGGAGCGGTGTTCAAACCCGTGGAGCACTAGTTGGCAGTCGAGTGCGAAAGTCAAGGAACCACAGCTCTAGGGATCAGTATCATAAATGGATGAATTAAATGAAACTAGCACAATCTCAGATGATTTCTATCCCAGTAGACAGATGATCAACATGCTAACCTGGTTATTTGAAGCTTCTGGGTTCGATATCTAGTGAAGTCACCCGTGCAAACTGCTACAGATTCGTGCGTTACATTCTATCTGTTACTTATAAACTCTACATCCAATGTTGTGTGCGTCAGTAGTTCGAGAGTAGAATGCCCGCTAACCATGAACTTGGTCAGGGTTCTACTCCCAGCTGATGCAATCGTAAACCTCTTCTAGTCCATAGTAAGATCAAAAAAAAGAAGGTTGGACTTGAAAGCAACAATAGTACTACTGAAACTTTAAAGCCTAGAGGTTGAAGCCCTATGTTCGACTAAGAACGCAAAGGGATAGAAGAATAAATACATCTAGTATTGATGATATCGAGCTTTTTTCTCAAGTAAAACAATATTTTTCGTAATTTATGACTTCTGTTTGATGAAAATGGACACAAATGCACAAATAGAGATGCATTTAGACGAAGTCAAACTTTACACATCCAACAGGTGCGAACTTACCAGTGATCATTGGGGCGCTTAGTTAGAGCAAGGTAGTGAAAACCAGGTAAATAACAGTATATTCATGAAAACATTGTTGAGTGAAGTATTATGATTTTAAATATAATATCTGGTTAGGTTTGAGTTATGTATTGGCTAGAAAGAGAGAGGTTAGGGGTAAATTTGAATTTTAAGAACTTTAACTTTAAACGGAAACACCAATAGCCTTTGGAAATAGGAATAATACCCAACGGTGAATTCGGTCCTCCGACCCTAACCGATCTTTTACCTAACTAATCCAAATCTACAGAGGATGAGCCCTAATTCTCCCTAGTTAGGTTAACTTAACCCCAGGATTTAATGGGTGGATGGTGACTAGCAGTGGAATCCAGGATAACGCACATTTCGTCCTATTAGTGACTCGTCATCTGGAGGCTCGAACCCAATGCCAATAGTTTCAAACGCCAAAGCATTATCCACTAGAACACTTGGGCCACGAAATGCGCGTTATGCTGATTCCACTGCCAGTCACCATCCATCAATTAAAATTGTAATTACATTCTCAGACATCGTCGAAGCATCTGCACAAGAAGCCGACATGTCAACCTAAGATGCAATCAGTCGACGAGAAAATCTAAAATTCAAACAAATAACTTAACCTCAATCTATGTGAAGTCTAAACTTCACCTTATTCTTTCTCGAACCTAAGACTTGCGAGATATTCCATTTATTATCATGCCACTACATGAAGTAATTTTGTTTTATGAATATAGTATGCTTATCCTGGTTTTGACTAACTTCCTGATTCGGTGTACTAAGGCCATTAGTAATTTGAAGCCTCTCTAGGTTAGGTAGGGTTAGGTTAAGGAAATATTAGTGTTACAGTTGACTTTAAGAGGATCAAATTTGCCTGTTAAGGAAGGGAGATTACCTTTCTCAGAGTGATTGATTGATGCATTATATTGTGTCTAAATGGAGGATGGCTTAAGTTGAAATAAATATATATTCTCACATGATGACAATACTAACAATGGAAGAAATGAAAAAGTTACTTCAAGTACTCGATTGCGGACAGACAGACATAATATGATTATGCACTAACTAGAAAGCAGTACTTTACTTCTTTTTTTTTCTCAAAGCTCTTAGGTTAGGTTAGGTTAGAAAGCATTCTAGTCGTCTGGTGTTGTTAACAAGTAGGCATTGATTGCACCCCGACTTAAGAGGAGGAGATGACCACTAACTAGTAAGTACCATAGTGACAGGAAAATAGTTTGTACGCTTCTTTTTTGTTGGGCGTCCTAGGCCAATAATATGTCTATATATACAGAGATAGATATACTATGGTTGTAGTCCTGTTTGCAGTTATGTGGGTGTGTGTGTATGCACTTGATGTCGAAGGTATATATATATATATCCTTTATTACCATTTGTTTAGAAATAATAACGGGAGGGGTTGAGGCGGAGACAGTATGTATCACAATAATATATAAACAAAAATTTTCAATCAATGAAAAAATACTAAATTTAGTTTGTACAGAAAAGATACCTTGCACGCTAAAAACGTACAATAATCTCTAATATGTTATTCCTGCAGTCGTGTGCGCGCTATCTCGCTCGCTCGCTCTCTCTCTCTGTCTCTTTGTTCCTCAAATCTCTCTATCTGTGTGTGTGTGTTGTATGTGTGTCTCTATGTGCCTTAGTGTATGTCTACCTACCACCACCTATGCTATGATATTTCTTAAGTCAGACAGTTGAAGTGGTCATGGGAATTTAGACTTACACAGCTAGCTCTGCTTTCAAACAAAAAAAACAACAAAAATAAAGCTTATAGGTAGGTAGGTTGGTAGGTAGGAGGTTGGTACTACTGAAGTATGGATGATATTGGTTAGTTATTAGATCGTTCAATGAATGTCTGTGTACTTTAATGCGTTTTCTTTCACTTCTCCCCGGTCTCACTATCACACCACCCCCCGTACTACTACCCCCACCACCATTATCATCATAACGACGATGACCATCACTACCAGTGATAATTGTACTACTACTACTACTACTGGTGTACTGGCATTAGTGTATTAGTATTACTACAAGTGGTAGCAAAACCAACAACAACAGCAACAACAATAACAAAAAATACAATCCACTACCACCCTGAAGAGAAGAACTCACAACACAACAGGACAAAATGCAAGACAGTAGTACAGAGAAGCGCGACACATACAGCATGATATGTATATATATATATATATGTGTATATTTATCGCACTCAGTGCAGGAAACAAATGGCACAGTTGTGCAAAATCTTTGAACAGTCTCGTGATGTGTATACACACATACTGATATGATATGATATGATACGATATATATACGTGTCTTTCAGATGAATACTTCACCTGTGTTTGTGATTATTTTGATTTGAAATCATGCTCTCATGATGAGGTGGCACACGAAAGAAGAAGAAGAGGGAATTGTAATTTTCTTTTTGAATAACCACCTTTATAATTGCTAAAAAGGCCTCAACCCTTATATTATTTCTACTACTATTATTATTATTACTATAAAAAAAAACAGGAACATTTATGACACCCGATCATAATATCTTGATTAAATCTTGTTGTTATGTTGCATCTTGCCATCAAAAATTTAAATCTCCCTCTTGCTAAACAATCAAACAAAAAAAACAAATAAACAACACTGAACATTGATCACAATAAAAAATTGGAATTGTGTTTTTCAAAGACAATCCAACACACTAAAGGAAGCGCGAGAATTAAACGGGAATATTAAAATTTTTATCAAAGGGGATACCATAAAGTAACACAATTAAACAAGGAAATAGAATAATTCATATTTCAATTACACTGGTATTGAATTGAGAAAGAAGGAGAGAGAGAGACAATTGTTGTCTTGGAATTGATTCAAAGATTTTACGTATATGTATTTTTGATTATCACATATAATATATTACAACAACAACAACAATATCAACGAAAAAGAACATTGTCATGTGAGTGAGTCTTGCTAATTGTGTATCTCCCCCCTATATTATGCATGTTTTTGTTGGAGTAGTGCTTGTTTCTGTTGGGTATTTTAGTCTTTTTTTTGAGAAATTTTAACTTGGAAACTGAAGCGTTATCGTACATGTATTACTGAGAAGAAGTAAATCGATAATGAGTAAACACTTTCATCCTTGGCAGGTATACATCAGGCATAATTATTCTTCAGTTTATAATAAACAGTCATTTCATGTTAGTTATGAGTTGATATCTGTAAGAGAATTAATGACAAACCAATAGAGAGTAATGAATAGTTAGTTGTTTCATTCAAGTTGCGACTCTTCAGCAGTACGCACTTTATGACTTCACCAGGGATAGTATATCAATAGTAGCCTTATGATTCCAGATTACCCCCCTCCTTAGAGAGTTTCACAATTCTTTTTCAACCTGCTCATCTCCTTTCATTTCAGTATATGATTTAAACTAATACTTGATAATGTCAAACAGTCAGTTATGTGTCACTTACATCACATCCGTGATATTTGCATACAGTAGTTGATGGGTGTAATAAGTTAGAAAGAATATTGCCCTCCTAATACTACTACACATCGATTTTCATTTCTGCCTCAGTTACCACCCATTAAGGCTACATAGGTATATTTGAGGAGTTGCATCAGCTAATGCCAACAAGTTGATCGCTGATGAAATCTCAGCACGGATACAGAAAGCTGGTTTGACATATGTCAGCTTACGCCATCTCTGGCGCAGACATGATATCCGGCTAGCTATCGATCAAAGGGCATGTGTACTGTCCGGCAGTCTGTTCCGTCCTCCTTTATGGCTGTGAGACATGGTCATTGAAAGTGGAAGACATGAAAAAGCGCCTAGCTGTCTTTGATCATAGATGCCTGCGTTCTATCTCCCGTGTGAAATGGTGGTATAATAAGGTGAGCAATATTGAGGTTAAGCGTCGAGTGCTGCGTCTAAGTAAAGAGGGGAAATCAGTCGACGAGGTTGTGAAGTTACATCGACTGAGATGGTTAGGACATGTGTTACATATTCCCAGCCTAGTCATCGCCTTCCTCAACAATGGGCAATGTTAGCTGACAAAGGGTCAGGTTGGAAAAGAGCTAGTGACGATCAAACCAAAACATGCCACCGGTCAATGAAATCGACAAAAATTAGTTTAAGCCACGTCGAGAGGCGTAGAGTGCTGATTCAACTAAATTGGAATGAATAATTGGTGATTGGAAGTAATAGTTTGTATGCTGCGGATCTAATTTTCATGTTTATTGACATTTGTCAGCAAGGTGTAAGTGAGACGAATCTCCGAGATGGTATCAGTTGTTTTTGAGGTTTCAGACACACCTTCTTGACAAGTGCCAAAAACCACAAAGCTTTGGTGTGAAGTTTCACTTGACTCATATAATTCAGACAGCATTAACACAGAGCACTAGTGAACAGTCAGTATGAACCAGAATAGTTAATGGTAAATATTAAAAATTGCCTAAATTTTATGTCAAATACCTTCATAATGATTGTGCGTCGGTGGCAAAGAGGTAGAATACTTACCGACTAGGTAGATGGTCCGGGGTTCAATACCCAACCACAGACGCACTCCTAAACCTGTCTAAGCCAGTAATAAGACTGGTAAAGAGGGAATGGTTGGGCACCAGGCTAGCAACCTCATCCTGTAAAAATAATCGCCACTACCACAGAAACTTCAAACCTCTAGTTTGAAGCCCTATGTTCCACTGGGAACGTAAAGGAATTGGGATAAAATAACGCTTCTATGTCAATTCAAACGTTTTTCCCGATGATATAAATTTGTTTCATGCCTAGTAAATCAAAAACTTGATAGGTGGTTCATTGATATCATGTTAGCCAGTCACTTAGATGCCTCAGGTTCCAGCCCTTGCAGACGCATTGCTAAACCTTGTATAGCGTGTAGTAATCCAAGGAAAAAGCTGAGGTAGCGCAATACCAACGCTACTTAAACTTCAAAGCTTGAAATCCCATGTTCCACTTGGAACTCAAGGAATGACCTGAGACCTTCATAATGAAAGCTTTCCGTTTACACAGTGACATGTATAAGATGAAAGTTTTATTTGTGATTTTATTTTTTTAAGAATTTTGGCATTACAAACCCGTAGTAATTTTGTATTATGAATGTGCCTATGCGCCTAAATGCATAGAGCCTAATGTGTATAGAACTACAATTTTTAAGCCTTAAATCATATTTATGACTCCTCGTTTGTGTTTCTGGATATAACAGGATTGGAATCACAATGGGAGCACCATTATTCACTGGGGCTTATATACAACCAGATGACGAATCCCAAATAGGGTGAAACCCCCCTAAATAGATTCTAATGTTAACCACTATGAAACTAGTAATTTCCACTCAAATTTATTTATTTCCATGAATGATGCCATTATAAGTTCGAATCCCTTTTTCGCCAACTAATATCTGAACAAAAATTAGTTAGTGTATATCTTCAATTCTTACAAACAAGTCCTTATCAAAATAAATTTTACCCAGAATGGAATTCTACTTTATCACAGTGCACAAGTTCTATTCTTATATCAATCTCATAAAGACGGTTTAATGCCTAGTCTAGGTTTGGACTAGTATGATCTAGTGGTCATTATTAGAAGTCAGGATTCACAGGTCATTCGACTTGATCCCAGTAGCTGAATGATCAACGAGCTCGCCTCCTAAACTGAAGCTCCTGGGTGCAATCTTCAGTGGAAGGAAATAGCTGTCGAACACTCCCTGAAGGCAGTTCTCGATGTAATTTGACTTTATAATCTGTTAGGCTTTTATGTTATGTAGTCTAATGAATTCACTCACCTACAAATACGATTCAACTTCGTTTGATTTTATTTTTTGGCTTTATTTGTGTGTTTCACAAGTAGAAAAGGTTGAAAGTGTATGTCAGTCATTGTAATTTCATTTATTTACTATCTTTGAATTTTATAGTTAAAATATGTTTAAGCAGAAAAAAGGTATTTTGTCTTTTGAACAAAAATGATAATTAAATCTAACCCGGTATTTGATAGACACAACACGTACAGCTATTAGTGGAATTCACTTCTGAGCAGTAATCAGCAGGTTTTTTTCTATGCTCTCGTCCGCTGTTAGTGAATAGCAGTCACAGGGTGTATATATATATATATATATATATGATATTGTGGAGAAACTTTCGTTTGAACTAAGTTTGTATGCTGATTGTAAGCGTGTGTCTACGACACCCAAGTGATAACATCAGATACCAATGGTCGTGATGTTAAGATTATGGAATGGTTACTAACTCTACTGTCGCTCTTTCTCCAACTCCCTCCCTCTCTCCGTCCGTCTCTCTTACTCTCTATTTTTTTCACGTAAAACGCAACAGTATTGGTAATGTCAATTTTACTCATTTAATAATCGATCTCAAAAGTAAATATTGTAAATAGTTTGGTATCACTGTATATTTTCTATCTTATAGTAATTAGTAAATGCATTACACGACGGCGTGGTGTATTCTTCACCTCACAATCTAAGATTACATTAAAAAAAGTGATCAGAAGAAATCAGTCAAAAAGTTATTAAAGTGGAATTTACCTATTCTAAAAGTTTCTTTTCAGATTGTATTTGACATACCATAGAATAAATATCATGCCCCTAAGACTCATATTTCGTCCTGTATAGTACTTGTCACCTGGATACACTTGAATCCCTTTGTGAGTGATGATCCAGGGAGAAAACGCTTTGGCGTTTCAAATGACCTATACTGGATTTGAGCTCTAAAAGGGAAACTATCATTCACTGTGATAAAGGTATATCCATCGGACAAGCCCCGAACGGAAGAAAAGATAATAACAATAATAATAATTTGCTTTATTCCAAAACAGTACTTGTGATACAGTATGGAATTCTCAGCATTTTACTACATACAGTATTGCATCCAGTTGGTAAATTAACAATAAATAAAATTCTATATAGATTAACGGTAATCTCAGTTAGTTTTGACAACAACATATTAGCATGTCGGTAGCAAAGCCAAAATTGAACAGAGTGTTTGAAGGTGCTAGAAAAGTAGGTTCTAGCATATTTACTGGCGTAAGCAGGAGAAAGGTGCACATAACAGAAAAAGCGAGAGAGAGAAAGGGAAAAGAAAGAAAGGAAACGTTGTACCTATAAATGATATGAGTTGGAAAGACGAGATCCAGTTGTTCTACTGACTATTTAATAAGTTAAAGGTTTCACGCCTAATGCTTTCTTTATCGCACAGAACACGAGCTAAGTAGGGTATGGATGAGTTTTTGTACTTACTAGTGCGAGCATATAGTTTTCTATATAGGCTTCTGGTTTTGCCTGATGAGATACAAGGGGAGAGTTGTGAATGAAGAGGGTGGTGTGAGTTAGATAAAATGGATTTTGCCCATTTTTCACATGAGTCCATGTGCCTGTCAACCAGAATAATAACAAGCTGGTTAAGTGGCACGTAGCTTACCCTGCTGACAACCTTTAACATCTTGCGTAATAAGGTATAGTCTTTCTTCAGTAGCCCAGGAAAAACTAGGGGGGACAATAGAGAATAATAGGCAGAATGCGAGAGTTAACCAATTGTAGGAGTAAGGGTTGGGTTACACCAGAATGTCTTAACTTCTTGATGTAGAAGGTAAGACGGAGAATTTTCTTAGAAATCATCAAGATATGAGACGACCAGGAAAGATCAGCAGATAGAATGACGCCAAGATATTTAATTTCCGACTTGGTTTCTATTTCAGTGCCATCTATGTTGCACACCTCGTGAGTGCTAACCAGTTTGTTTAGGTCAGATTTGTGCCTAAAGGTGAAATTAACTGTTTGGCATTTGGAGGGGTTTAAGGTGAGACCGTTTTCCTTGGACCATTGGCTGACTTCTGATAAAAAGCCATTTAGTTTAGTGCAGTCACTTTGACATTTGACAGGCAAAGATACAGTTAGGTCATCAGCATATTTGACAAAATTAATGTCATTTGA